GAGTCTATTTCCCTTTCATTGTTTTACACCTCATAATTAAACCCGAAACATTTTTTTTTTTATTTTTCCTCTCTTTTCACACCCTTACCGAGACTTGAGATCTTGTATCACTCTTGTTCCACGAAAAAAATTAAAAAAAAATCACTATTTTGAAAAAAAAATAGCAAGTTGTTCACTGTTTTGAACAGCAGAAAAAAAAAACAGACCCTTGTTCAAAAAAAAAGGGAAGGAAAAATCGATCGTTTCAATTGTCTTTCAACTATTCTTTTTCCTTGTTTTGTTTTTCATTGCGCTTCAAGTTAATTCGTAGATTGTTCTTAATTAATTTGATTTCTTGTTTCGATATATTAAACCTTTCTTTTGGCCTTTTCCCTACTCTAACCTAAGCCCCGTTACACCTTGTTTAAAGGGCCCTTAATTATTACATTATGATCATTTTTCGTAGTGGAGACTTGATTGGATTCCAAGCTTATGGTAATATTTTGGTTAGTTTCGGTTTGAGTGGATATATGTGAATCTTTGTGAGGTATTGATTAATGTTTCATTGAAGTCGGCAATTAATTGGGATATCTTGCTTACTTTAAATTTTCTTGGTTGTATCATTGCTTGATTGTTACTTTAATTTGGCAAATATCATGGACTTAGTTCGATTGGAAGTTTGAGGGATAACATGAAATTGAAGATGACAACTTATGATTTTGATATGTTAATTGATGAATCCTTGAGGATAATCATTGAATAAGTGAGGGGGAAATTTGATAATTGCTTAATTTAGTTAACATTTTGTTTTTAAATTACTCCTTAATCATTAGTTTTTGTGGCATAATTTTTCGTTTTCATTCATTTTCTGTGCAGGACGTTAGATTTTGGAAATTACACTAAAAGGACTGAATTCTACAGTTTTTTTATTTTCGGTATCGAAGCTGAACTAGTGGGCATAAATTCAGGCATGAAACATCCGACGAGGCGATGATGTCAACGCCTTCTAGAAGATCCAGTCAGCATTTCTGGAAGAACGAATGAATTGACCACATGTTTCTAGAATTCGGATTTGAATTAAACTCAAGGTTTAGGATAATATTTTAAATATTATATTTTATCTTTGTTTTAGGTATTTTAGTTTAAATAGGCTTTAGTATTTTAATTAAGTTTTAGGATATTATTTTTATATTTTATCTTTGTTTTAGGTATTTTAGTTTAAATAGTCTTAAGTGTTTTAATTAGGATTTAATATGTTTTAGCTTGTTTTTAGGAATTTGAAGGCTATAAATACCCTCTAAGGGTAAGCCTATAAACATATCTCACACATCTGAGAATAAAATATTCTTTTTCTCTCTAGCTTTCTCTTTATTTTTCGCATATCTTCCTATTTTCTTTTAGAATTTCATTTTCAACAATTGCTAAGTAAGCCGAGGGCTAAAGCGAAGACTCAATTCCTAAATCACTTCGGATTTTTCTCTCTATTTTCTGAGCTTACTTTTCAAATCAAAACGATTTCGACATTGGTCCGGATGTTGTTATGGTTACCGTTTGAAAAAAGATTTGCTTATTGAAGCATATTCAACTTCCCGAGAACACACTTAGCAAAATTGTTTGCTAAGAGGAAACTGAGATCGGAATCATTTATTGTTGAAACGACACAATCCGAGTTGGCAGCGAAGAATTGTCCTTGTAAGCCGATGTGAATCTTGAAGTAAAAATCAATTTCGATGATTCGAGGAATTTGAGGCAAAGCTGAAGTCTAAGACTACTTTCACAATAAGTTTCTCTTTATCTCAATCTCTTTCAATTATTTATTTAATTATTTATTTTATTTAATTCTTATCTTTTATTTTAAAAACAACTTTTAAAAACCCTTTTTTATTTACTACTATTATTTATTATTTTATTATTTTCCCTTTTATTTATTATAATCTATTTTATTTTATTAAATCTTTTCAATTTTACTTGGAATTCTATCTCCTCCTAAAATCAAGAAATAATTTTACTAAATCAGAAACACCACACTCCCTGTGGATCGACCATGCTTCTCTATACTGTCTTTTCCTTTCTATTTATGAAGCCGAAATTATTTTGATAGTAAAACGACGGTTATCACAGATCTTAAAGAGTTGTGGATCCCATTTTTTTCATAATAAGTGGAAATCGAGATGTTTTCTGAAGTGAGGAAAAAATTTCAATATTTTTGTAGACGTTGAAAATATTTGAAATTGACCATAATAGATTTTAACTCAAAATTTTTAGCATAAATTTATAAGTGATTTTTTCTAGGTTCTCGACTATAATTTTAGGTTCTCTTAACTGTTAGGGAATTCGAGATTATTTAAGAATTTTAAAATTTTGCATTATTTTAAAAATGCATTTATTGCATTCAAGAGTCTAACCAAAAATATTTGTTATCAAGTAAGCGTCGTTTTACAGACGTCGTGAGGGTGCTAATCCTTCTTCAAATGTACCTGTGTCCCCAAACTCAATTTTAGTTTTCGTAGACTTAAACATTTTTTGGTGATCTAATCACACCTAAACTGATTGGTGGCAACTCTCATCATTTTTTAAAAAATAAAAGGTACGCAAATAATTTTTTATTCACTCGATAAAAAATGGTGCGTACACTTAGTGTGAAAAAATCTTTTAATCATACAAATTGTATGAACAATCAAATTTGATTGGTTGGTCAATGTGCTCATCTTTATACATTTATATTTATTTAAGTCATGGGTTCTATACCCATTATAAGCACTCTCCTTCACCCAGTCTTTCCTGCCCTCCTTTTAGTTTGGACGTAGAATTGCAGTCAATGTAAAGGTGATCATCAATCGGTAGTCTTCTCTTACATATAAGAAGAGAGGTTACATGAATGAAGAGAAAGTCGCTCCGAATAGAATGTAGAAGAATTTAAAATAAATAAATAAAAACCTCTTTCTTGAACCTTTCTTCGTGGTATAAATATCCCAGTCATAGGACGGTCGGTGTTTGTCATAGAGTCATTATACCTGTCAATAGAGTGATAAATTATATAGATATGACTATTAACTAAAAAAATATAAACTTTTAAGAACGATTATAGTGGAGGTTATCCTAAGATGGTGTGGTGTTTCTACGGGATATGTGGAGGGTCTCCTTAAATATGTATATCGTTATTTTCTAACCGATAGTAATGAAAGAGTAGCAATACCTGAATGTTAAACCCATTTCCAGTTGTTTACCTTAAAAAGCTGAACTTCAAAATCTCATTCTCACCAGAATTTGCCAACCCAAAACACAAGAACTTCACATCACATTGACATGTGTGCCAAAGTTTTGGATAATTAGATGAACCTTGAGTGAACCATTTCTTTATTATTGACAGATTTAGTAACTTTGACCTTGCTTTAAAACAAAATCACAAATCATTGGCCAACAAGAAGAACCGAGTAATTGATTTACACGTCCACAAAAGAAGTAGTTCACCAACATCATCAGCGCATTTGTTTTGTGGGTTTTATTTACCCTTTATGGTGAAGGTTTGTATAAATTGTACTTGTTTTGTCAGCTAGGGAAGGGGACCTACTTTCCTAAACCAGCATTGTTTTATTTACAGGTTCAAAATTGTCAGAGTTGGTGCGGTGGTTAAGAAATAAGAACAATTTGGCTCCAAAAGCTGGTGCGTATTTGCATGGCTTTACAGATATGCCTGAGGCCATAATCTGTTTAGTTCTCTTAATCCCATTTTTAAAATTAAATTAAGCAAATTTGAGGGGGGAAAACATGGAGAGAAAGGTCCATTTAACTGCTACATCATAATTGCAAATAGGGTTTACGGAAACCAACCCAATCCACGTCCATATTAACCCTGCTGGGCATGATATGAAATTACTAAAATATCCTACAAAAGGATAAATATACTTGCATTGCATGTTTATGGGAGATGGATCTAGCACGAAACATTTCAATGATTAATAAATTTGTTGTTACATCTTCAAGTCTCGAGTTCAAATACCACGAATGCAGGGTATGATTGTTTATTATCAAATTATTGAAAGTTATTGAACAAATATTACCTTGTATTTAATCTAATTTTATAAAAAAACAGTTTTTTATATTTTATATTAATAATTTAATTCCATGGTCCTCAAAATTATAATTAAAATTTTTAATATAATATTTAAAAAGTTCATATGTTTTATGATAATGGTTCGAGGTAAAATTTTGTGGCACAGATATAGCTAGCTTTTACCGGCAACGGTTCAGACAATTTAAATTAAATTCCAGACTATGCCGTAATTAGATTAATAAAATCTAATTTGAACTTATAATTGCAGTTCATCAATTTATGTTGATGGCCAATACTGACAAGATTTGTGGGTGAATAATAATGAAGCGTTGACAATAAACAAAATATATATTTCAAAATTTAGAATTATTTTGTTGACCAACTTTCTAAAGTTTACATTATCATGAAATAAACCATATGATTGGGTATTTGTTTGCTAAATAATCTAAAAGATTAAAATTACATGTAAGAGAAAAAGGTTACAAGAATAAATTGGGATCCATAAAGACATAAAAGAAAGAGCAAAAGATTCATAATAATACGTGATTTGATGCATAACTATATCCTTAACAAATGTCAATTTACAAGCACAACTTTGGTTTACATATATTCGGATTAATTAAATCTACCTTTGATAATTTGATTTGATTGATTAAATTTATAAATATATTAAATCAATTAAATTTAAAATTATAATTTAATTAATTTAATTATTGATCTATTTTATTGATGATAAAATGTATTGTTGTTCTTTCTATAGTTCTCGAATTTCAAATATTGCATTTGTAGGATGCGTATGTATTATCAGTAAACTAAAAAAAATCTAAACATATACTATAATGTTATAACCCTTAAACTATTGAAAAAAAAGGTTATTGGTTCAATTATACAAAAATGACTCAAATTAAAAAAGGTATAATGAAAAAATTACCTCAATGTTTGCACAAATTATCTCTTTGTCATAGTGATGAATGTGTTATCTTCTCTACTGAGCGTTGCTGCCAAGCAAGGGGTTTTCAGATATCACCCTAAATGTAAAAGAATTCCTCTCACTCATCTTAGCTTTGCTGATGACTTGTTAGTTTTCTGCCATGGGTCCCTTGAGTCTTTGTTGAGTGTGCAAAGTACCCTAGAGCTTTTCTATGACATTTCTGGACTCAAGTTGGATGCTATGAAAACTGAATTTTTTGCCTATGGTTTGAATGATTATGCCCTTGATTTGATTCAGTCAGCTACTGGGTTTAGGCTGGCTTACCTCCCTGTTAGGTACCTTGGAGTACCCCTTGTTACTCGTAAGTTGACAGGGAGAGACTGTTCTGCCCTGCTGGAGAGGGTTAAAGGCAAACTGAGACAATGGTCCAACAAGAATTTAAGCTTTGGGGGTAGGTTGCAATTGGTTAAAACTGTTTTATTTAGCATTTTTAACTATTGGAGCAGACAGCTCATCCTCCCTAAGGGCATCATCAGTGACATTGAGAGACTTCGCATGAGATTTTTTTGGAAAGGTTGTGATACCCCTGCCAGAGGTGTTCGTGTTGGCTGGCATAAGGTTTGTTCCTTGAAATCTGAGGGAGGCCTTGGTCTTAGGGACCTTGCCCTGTGGAGTAAAGGTTGTTGCCTGATGCTCATTAGAAACATTTTGGCAAATGAAGGCTCTCTTTGGATTGCCTGGATCCAAGAATATTGTTTCAAAATAGTGAGCTTTTGGGAGGCTGAAGTTCGAGCCCACTTTAGCTGGATTCTAAAGAAGCTTTTGAAGCTTAGGGAGGTGGCGAGGTGTATGTTTTTGCCTTCTGTTGACTGGAACCTAGTTAGAGGCAAGTGGATTTGGGATAAGGTTCGGATTTGCAGGGATAAGGTCAGATGGCACAAAGATCATTTGGTTCCCTGCCCATATTCCTAAATTTTCCCTTATTTCCTGGATGGCTATCCTTGATAGACTTTCTACCAAGGATAGGCTGATTTGGTTTGGATTGACTATGGATTCTGGTTGTGTTGTGTGTGGGACTGGTTTGGAGTCCCGGGACCATCTGTTTGCAGTCTGTCCTTTCTCCAGGGAAGTATGGAATGCTGCTCTTAGCTCATGTGGTTTTCGATCTGATATGCTCAGTTGGGATGATCGCCTCAACTGGCTGATTGATAACTTGAGAGGCAATTCCCTCCGTGTGCGGATCCTCAAGCTTGCTTGGACTGCCTTCTTGTATTATATCTGGGAGGAACGCAACTACAGAAGCTTCAGAGGTCTTTCTCGTTCTGTTGATTGTATTGTAAATAGAATCAGGGAATCTGTTAAAATCAAATTGTATAGTCACTGCATGCATAGGATTGATGATGTTAATAGGAGTCTGTGCATAAGTTGAGGTCTGTTTTAAAGCTGTTTTTTTGCATGTATTGTTGCAGCTAAGCTGTATTCTTTTTTTTGGATGGAATATAATTTACTTATCCAAAAAAAATTATCTCTTTACCCCTTTTTTGGAACATTTTAGCATTAATGTTATAATTTTTTGTCAAAATAAATCTTGTTGGATGAAAGCTATCAATTGATTAACGGTCAACACATGTCGCTGATATAACATTTTTATGTGTGTTCAATAATTGACATGATATATGTTATGTCACTCAAAGTGATAATGTGACATGTATTATATTATCGAAATTGATAATATAACATGTGTCACATCATAAAACATGATGGTATGATTTGTGTTACACCAACAATTGAACACATTTAAAAATATTATATTTATAACATATGTTGATTGTAATATTTCCATCTAATATGATCTATTTCTAACAAAAACTAAAACGTTAAGATTAAAATACTAAAAATGATAAAAAAAATTATTATTTATACAAACTTTAGGATAATTTTATCATTATACCTTAAAAAAAATTATTTAATTTCTCCCAGCCGAATGTTAGATGCACGCGCCATTTTGAAGAAAGCGACTCAAAATTATACTCCCATTCTGATCGAAGGCTCCCCTATATATGCACATCTATAATCTATCGCTTTCCCTCTCAAAACCTTCCAACGTAGCGCTTAAATAGCAAGTAAAATTGTAGTTATGTTGCAGGTTATAGGAAGTTGAAAGCTCAAAAGCCCCTCCTTTTCTTCTCCCAAAGGGGAACCTTAAATTAAAAACCCAAATTTTAATGGCTGCGGCTGGCTTAGAGGGCAATGAGCTCTGCTTCGAAGAAGCAATGTCATGGCTGCCTTCTCATGTTCTTGATGAAGCAATTTGGGAAACCAACAAAACAAAGGTCTTTCATCTTCCATCTTATCCAACCATCTTTTCTCCTGTGTTCGTTTTCTCTGTGCTGATCAATTTGTTTGATGTTGATTACAGGATGACGTGAAGTACAACTACCATCACCATCGCCATCGTTCGAAGTTGCCGGTTAAAAGTTGTTCACCGGTTGGCTTGAGACGGCATCAGAAACCCAGATATTGGGGCGGCTCTGCATCGGGAGGACCTGGAATGCAGGCTTTTTTCTTGGATTCCGGTAAAAGATCATCCGGGACCGGTGTTTTCCTTCCCCAGAGAGCTGGCACTAATTTTTATTCTAACAGAAAACCAGATAATTTTATATTAATTTACATTTTTTTCAGTCAGCGTAATGCAAAAAAAAAAATCTCCATCTTTCGATTAAATAATTATTTTAATTTATATTTTTTAAATATTTTATTTTGAACATACTATTTTAAGAAAAAACTCTAAAATTTAACAAAATAATTATTTTAACTTTTTTTAAATATTTTAACCATAAAATTTCATTAAAAGGAGAAAAGTTTGTATCAGTGATAATGTAGGTAAATATGATTTAATATGAATCAAAAGATATAGTGGGCTTTATCTAGGGGGTATTATTTTGTTAATAATATTCATTTTGAAATTTATTTATTTATTTAACAAATATTTTATTCCATTCATCCCAGATTAATAAATAAGATTGATTTAAGGTGGACATTTTTTTGTTAATAATATTTATTTTGAAATTTATTTATTTTTATATATACAAAATATTTCTTATGCTTATATATATGTACCTATTTTGAAAATGTTTGTAAATATGTCATTAATTCATATATTAAAACGATTATTTATTAATGGTTGATTTTCAAGAGCTTTTTGTCTCAAAATAGAACATTGACCGTCAAGATATTTTTAAAAAGACAAGAGTAATACAAATATTTACTCAAAAATCATAAGATTTTTATCATTATTCATTTTCAATTTGACTCTCATGTATAAATATTCATGTACATGGATTCTTTGTGCAGTTTGTTCTCCAGTTCTCCTCCCTTGTCGTGTTGTTCAAGCTCTGAACCTGAACGTCCAAGAGTTAGGCCTGCAGCTTTCTCCCCGCCGTGGTTGATCTCTCTACCTGCATTCCGTTAATTCTTCATGTACATTGCTAATACATCACCTTCGTCGCTAAAACACGTCTTTTGATTCATTTTCAAGCAGATCCCAGAAACAACACTACAGCTAGTACTACAAGTCGTGGAGATCAGTTGAAATATTCATTGAATATTAGTAAACTAAAAAATGGGAAGGACCATCATGCATCAATGAAACGTTGTGTTTTTTCCCAGACCCAAGCTTCTTCGCCGGATATATTTCTTCCTAGGGAATGGACTTATTAGCGTTGAAAACATCTCAAGGACAAGACCAAGATTGATCTACGTTACACCTCATAAGATTATCGGTCAGGTTGTTATATATTATTAACTAAGTTGTACGTGATAGAATAATTTTATATATTTTTTCTTTTTGTAAGAAAATATGTTTAAATAATCATAAAAATGAAGTTTCGTTTTGCCTTTATAGATGGATCTTGATATAACAATTTAAACCATATCGTTTACCCGATGAAATACCTATGTGAAAAATGATTATTGTTATTTCAATTTCTTTAAATGTAATGGGATTAAGCATTGGATCTTTTAAGGTTAGAAGTTTGAATCTTGATATTTGTAAATGATGTAAATTGGCTTTTGAGGTTCACATCGTAATTAACATATGCAAAATTCGATGTAAAATAGTATATCAATAGATTAGATACCGATGATTAAACAAAAAAATTATAATATAAATACTATATATATTACTTTTAATAGATGAATATTATTTTTAAAAATCAAAGCCACCAAATTCTTTGCTATATTTCCCCAGGGAATTAAAAGCAGTAGCACAAACCATTTTTTCCATCTTCAACATGAACCGAAGTCACCATTGTTCAGTCCTTACATTTGTGGAGAGGAAGTTTAAATTCTAGTAAAATTCCTCCATGGATGTAACACCCTAAATTTCAGGCTATTAGTTTCGAGTTTACTCGAGAGGCAGGTAGGCCACGTGGATTTCATAATTTAAGTCGTTGGACTTAATTGGCTTAAAACTGGACTCAATTAACCATAAAAAAATAGATTTTTAAATGGTAAAAAGATGAGAAAGGACCAAAAGCATAATTATCTCATTTTTAAAAAGATGAGAGCTTTTTTCTCTTTAATTTGGATTTTCTTCATTTCCTTCTACCATTTCTTCTCCAAGTGTCATAGCTAAAGGTGAGTCTTTTGAACCATTTCGTATTTCTTTTAAGCACTAATCTCGTCCTTACTTCCTCTAGAAACCTTGTATTAAAGATTCAAGCTTGACATCTCATGTTTTGCTAGAGAAATTGGGGATTGTCATCCAAGTACTAGAGGAGAGTGTTTGGTGGTTAAATGAGCTTCATTTCGGGATTCTAATAGTAAGGTAATGTTTTTCTAATCTTTTGTGGTGTCTAATGATTAAGATTTGGGGAGAAATTGTTGCTCGTGATGTTCTTATTTCACTTTAATGCAATCTAGTCACTTTTCGAGACTAGACTTTGTTAACCTTCTTATTTGAATTTTTTATTTTTCACATGTTCATTTTAGTCCAACAGGTTGGTGGTTATTTGCTTTTAAGGGCCTCTCAATTTTAATATTAATGCAAAACAGTCCCTTTCTTTTTTAAATTTTAAATTTTTATTTTTTTAACTTTTGGGGCAGCTTACGTTTATGCATAATAATTTATGTTTTTATATATAATTTATTTGTTTACTTTTTAGTTACTTTTATTTAGTCTTTAAAATTTATGTGATTTTGTTTTTATTTATTTATTTATTGTTCCTTTGATTTAGGCTTTGGTTCGGTTGACTTTCTGCTGCAATTTATTTGTTCTGGTATATTTTTTTTGTTTTTAACCTTCCTTATTTGTTTATTCATATTATAGTTTACATATGTATGTGTGCATATATTAGGCCATAAACATAGCTTATAAATTCAATTAATTAGAGGTATACAATTAATGTGTTTTATATTCTTTCTATTTATGATCATGTATCCTATAATCTGCATTTATTATTTTCCATAATACCAAGCTGAAAGGTGCATATGTATTTGGAATGGAAGCCCGGCATGCATGTGTCATGTAGTCCTTTATTAAGTAATTTAATATACATATATATGTTTTTACTTGTATATGGTTTACTCACATGATTTTATTCTATTTATATGCATGACATTTTAAAGTTAAGGTACGAATTATTTTTATATTATGTATTATTTCATATATATAAGTATAGATCTATTTAAATTAACCATATATATCTAAATAGCGTAATATATTATTTTATTTATGAATATATATATATATATATATATATATATATATATATTATCTATTTTTTTTATTGAATTTATGTATGTAAATATGTAATTTGGTGCATATATGTTTAGGATTTGATTTTAATTAAATTGCATGATATCCTCACAAGCATTTCTTGATTCGATAAAAATAATTTGATTAAGGGAATATCCGTTTATTTTGAGATTGGGAAGTGATTGTCTTAAAGAACAAGATGTCTCTTTCAATAATCTAAAAATAAGAGGGTATCCTATCAAGTGAAACGAATAAAATTTATTACATTTAAAATTTGGGACTGAGAAAAAGATTATGTTCTTTTAATTAAATTCACTGAGAAAAGATTGTTAGATCAGATCTAAGGTCATGTCTCGATGTATTTAAATAATTGAACATCCCTATTCTCATTAAAAGTTGGTAAAATAATTAATTAATCGTATTTGTTTGACATATGTATTTAACTTTCATTTTATTTTTGTATGTGTTTTTTATTGGGATCTCAAAATAGATAGCATTTGAACTAGTAATGAATCTTAGAACGAAATAGTAATATTTCTTAATTTCGATTGGAGTAAGAAATGATTGCTTTAAGGTATGAGAGGTCGTTTCTTATCGATAGGAAATAATTAAATATTGTAGTTTTCCTTCTTAAAATTAAAGAATGTGTTTAACAATAAGAAAATCTAAAATTTGATTTGTTTTATGTTATTTATGCATGTGAATTTAAAATTAATAATGAGCTTTAGAATGGAATTATAATATTTATTTATTTCGATTGGAGTAGGAATTGACTACTTTAAGGCATAAGAGGTTGATTCTTCTCGGTAGGAAATAATTAAATATCATTGTGTTTCATCCTAAAATTCAAAGAATGTCTTTTAAAGGGATCTTAAATTAAATTAAATTCGAACTCTTAAATTTCATTGCAAAAACAACTACTTAATCGACTAGGTATCGATTTAGGTTACTCTCGGGGTGCTAATCCTTCCCCACGTGTAATCGACTCATGAACTCAAAGTTTTGGTAACACAAACTATAAAATTTTTTAATTAAAATTAAATTTGTATTAAAATGAAAAAACATTTTGGGTGTTCATTTACACCCTAATCAAAGATTGGTGGAGACTCCTCAAACCATGTTTTATTATTAAAATGAAACAACATATTATTAAAGACGATATTTTTAAGTTACTTAAAAATTCATTTTTTTAAAAGAAAAATCGTTTCGACAGCTTGGCAACTCTGCTGAGGATATTTTTTTCGAGAGTCAAGCCAATTAGTCAATTAATTAATTGTCTTTGCAATGAAAATTACAAGTTCGTTCTAATTTAGTTTTTGATACCTTATTTGGTTTAAATAAATTTTAGGTTTATAATTTGATTAACCACTAAATAGTTGTACTAATTTGTTTGCTGATGTTTTCAGATTAAATAATTGTTCAATTGAGAACTTAGTTTTGTGTTATTTGTATTGTTCGCTTTTCCTTACACACTGCACAGCTATATTTGCATAACATGAGCTAAAACCCCGCTCCGTCTAATTTAATTAGGAGTGAGAAACTACACCCTCGTGTGCTTTTCACCTCTGTATGCGATAGTGGATCGCTTATGAGGCTCGTACCTTATGGTCTTCGTGATGGTTTTCACCTCCGTTTGGACATAAGGAGGTGTGTCCCCTTGAATTGAACTTGATCCGAAAGCCTATTATGGGTCAGGATTGAGGGTTTGGTAGCCCAAGGGGGCACCAACAATGACAATTCGAGAACCTTTTACTTTAGAGTCGAACCCAATATAGTGAACCTAGAACTCGAACCTTGGTAGAGTCTAACCCAACGTTAAGAATCCTGTGATGAGAGTAAATGAGGAAAAGCTCTTTTGAATCTTTTAATTTTTGTAGTTTAATTTTGTTTTTGAATAAATGTATGATAATTAGAGATCATGCGGTTAGGTTCATTTTTTCAAACGAGCATGTGAACTCGATGGTATAAGGTTAGGATTTATATTTTGAACAAAGCATGGCGGTAGAAAACATATCTGGGTAGAACTGTTATAAAAGCATGTCAGGGTAGATACCATGTTGGGTATGATATTTTCTTTCATAAATATTTTTCTTGCTTTTTTGTTTGAGTGGTACTAATAATTTCTTTTATCTTATTTTTCACTGTCTTTTGTTTGCATTAGCATTTTCACATCAAAACCAAACAAGGTGTTAATTCGCAAGTGATTGACCAAGTTAGAAGGTTTTCATACTGACATAAGAGTTCCATAATTAGGTAGTAAAATCTGAAAGGGCGATGACTTACAAACAAAGTTGGTCGACGAGAGAATAACTCAAAGTTGATTGAATACTCCTATTAAATGAAAAAAGATTGAGATGGTACCAAATAGTCAGATGCTAGTTGAGTCAAGAATGGGGAGATCCTTCATGAGATATCAAGGTCACTTTCCTCTTGGAGAATCCAACGGAAATAGAGGTATAGAGATCCAACAATCACAGTAGCTGAATTAAAACAAAGAAAGGCGGATCAACACTTTGAGAAGTCCAACAATGACTATAAAGACAACATCAAATCGTGAGAAAGGCCTAGATTAAGTAAATAAAGAAAATAAAGCTTGTCTATCTAGTGTAAGGAGGACTTATGGTGTGATGAAGGTTGTTCTATGATGGTTGTTTTTGGAATTAACACCTTGCGCATTTGCATTACATTAAC